AAATATGGTCTTACATCAGTAGCTAGCGCTAGTAACACAATTTTGCACTATCATATATACATTAACTTGTTTTTTTATATATTAATTTGTTGAACAGAGTATGGCAAAATATTTGTGAATATATAATATTTTTGCACAGAGAACGTAGTTTATGTGACAGAGCCCGAGGCGTAGTAACATGTGTTTAAAAATTATTTGAAGAGACCTTTTGAGGGAATAGTTGGCGGGTTTTTTACAATCAGTGTTTCTAAGTATGGGTGAGAGTAAGAATCAAAGTTCGGGATCGGACCGCGTAGGGTAGGTTTACAGGTTCGGAATTACGTAGGTTAAGAGGAAACAAATTTGGAAATATTATTAAGTATCACCTGATAATTTTCACAGAGTAAGGAGGCATCATGGCGTTTATTAATACAAAATTTCGAGGTGCTGATCAGACAAGATTCAGCAAATCTTCTCTGAATAATGTTCCGTTCGTGATAAAGTATACTAGCGTTATAAAAGTCAAAAGAATGTTTAAAATTTTTTATATGTTCTGTTATCATAGCATATGTGTACGTGTTTTTACATGCATATCATATATACATGTTTGTTTGTGTGTATATTTATGTATATATATTACGCTTTTGTATGTTTATATATATTTCTTTTTACTTTTCATTTCTCTTGTTTATCTATCTGTTAAGTATAATTGTTATTGCTATAATTATATTACTTATATCTATAGTTCTTTTTCCAATTTCTGTCATTTTTTCCTAGATTATATTAATTTTTCAATATTCATTCTGTAGATCCACTGATGATGACATAAAATACTATGTCGAACGTTTGGAAAAATTAAAGATTAACTTCTAAATCTTTGCCTTTTATTTGATGTATGCCCTTGAAGAACTTACTCATATATATATATATATATGTGTGTGTATATATATATATGTATATATATGGTATATATATATATCTGTATTATGTATATATATGTATATTGTATATATATATATATATATATATATATGTATATAATATATATCTATATCTTTATCTATTTCTATATATATGTCTCTCTCTATATTATCTGTATCCTATCTATCTATCCTCTCTATATATATCTCTCTCTCTCTGTATCTGTATCTCTCTATATATCTGTGTATCTCTCTGTGTTTTTTCTATCTGTATATATCCCCTCTCCTCTCTCTCTCTATCTATATATCTATAATATATTAGAGGTGGTCCTTAAAAGGTCATTTTCGAATTTCCTTGCTCCCAGGGGCTCAAATGGTTCCATAGATAAAAAACAATTCTCTGAAAGTTATAGCTCTTAATATTAACGTTTAGATAGAGCGCAATTCAATCAAAGTTTGTATGGAAAGAGCATGGAAAAAATTTTGAAAATTTAAAAAAAATGTTTTAGGTATAACTTAGCGACAAATGAATGAGTTTTATTCATTCTTTGTTCGCTAAATTACATCTAAAAAACATTTTTTAAATTTTTGAAAATTTTTCCATGCTATTTCCATACAAAACTTTGATTGAATTGCGCTCTATCTAAACGTTAATATTAAGAGCTAAAACTTTCAGAGAATTGTTTTTTATCTATTTGGAACCAGTTGAGCCCCTGGGAGCAAGGAAATTCGAAAATGACCTTTGTAAGGACCACCCTAATATATATACATATCAGACACCCTACATACCTATTTAATATTAATGTGTTATATTTCTACCTTACGCCCTATATATTATCTCTACCTATCTATTGCCTATACC